GATAGCTGAGTACAATCAAGCACAATTGTATTGTGATACTACTTTTTAAAATTTAAGTTATTAAAAAATGATAGTTTTCAGCTTGCGCAGCTATTGATCAGTTACCTTGTATTTAAGGTTGTGTTCTTTGTACTTTAGTAATTGATAAACTGAATTCTGTAAATGTTGAGCAACAGCCCACTGGCACTTACAGCCTAGTTCAGTAGAACATTTATAATACCCATGATTGATGCTTTTGGATTTGCTTAAATTTTGTGTTCGTTGACCATGGCTAGAAGTTAATTGAATCAAATCTATTTATGTTTTTCAAACAGATTCTCTGTGATGGCAAACTGCTTAAGATTTCTACTTGGTAGTACAATTGAAAATAATGTAAAATACTGTAAAATTCCCAGAGATCAGTAGTCTGATTTCAGCATTTAAGGGTATGGGTGGGGTTTCCGGTATACTTAATTCAAGTGTTTGTGATGTTATTTGGTAGCTTGGATTTCACCAATCTATTTCAATCATTTTGACTGACAGGAAAAGAATACAACCACTTCTGTTCAGGATGAGTTTATGCAGCTGTTGTTATGGGGCAAAGCAAGGTAGTTACTGTTGTTTTATCTGAGTATGTATTTGCATTTGATATTAAAATACGAAATGAACACATATTTGGTTCTCTTCCCCCACCCCTTTTAGTCTGGAACTTCAGGCATTACTAATGAACCAACTGACAGTAAAGGTATGTTCATATTTTTTTTACATATTACAATTATTTCAATATCTATTAATCACTGTTCTGTTAAGAGAACATTATTACATGTTTGTATTTCTCTTTTAACAGGGTTTAAAAAAACTCGGTCAGTCCATAGAGTCTTCCTATTCCAGTATACAAAAGTTGGTCATAAGTCATTTACAGAGGTAAGTCACACAATATCCAATGAATTATAGATAAAATGGCATATTATATGCTTTACTAAATGACAGCATACTGTATTGGTGATCCTTTGTTTGTAGGTGTGCTAATGTGGAGACTGTGATCATGGCAAAATATACTATTTTACTTTTGGGTTATGGAGAACTATTGAAGTATTTTGAGCAATCTTCGAGACGCGTCACCTGTATATATCACTGCCTGGTGTGTTTATAGAATATATACAAAATATTCACCCAACTTTAAAATCATTAGGACAATATTTGCTTTTCTCTGAAGTCATACTTTAACTCTTATATGCCAGACCACCTTATAAAGCTCTCCACTTAGCACATTAAAAGATAAAAATGTAGCATGCTGTAAAGCAATGAATTCCCAAAGGGTGACTGAAAGATTATACTTTGTTTTGCCTTCCTAGTGGCTCTGAGGCACTGTTATACCATTTGAGTGAATTGAAAGGAATGGCTTTATGGAAACAAAAATATGAGTCTCTGGGATTAGATGCATCTGGAATTGAAGGTATGGTAGTGTGTGTGCTACGTACCCACTCTGATTTTACTTTTGAAAGCTTAATACTAACAGTTAGCTCTTTTTGCAGATGCTATTACTGCTGTTGGTTCTTTCATCCTGAAAGCAAACGAGCTGCTTCAGTAAGTATAAAGTCTGGAGAAATTAAAAACGTACCTATTGAGTCTTGTATCTAAGAGGAAGCATGTGGCTGGGAATAGAGGAAGTTGGGAGAGCAAGGCTTCTCTTTTGGTGTTGAGCTTTTATCTTGTCTCGCTCTATCTCATAGACTCACAGCCCAAGATATAGTCTTACTTGGAAGGTTAGATGGGGCATGTTTTAAAAAGTTGATAGTGCTTGCAAAACCCTTCTGCAGTAAAGATGGGATTTAAGCCTGGAGCAGCTTGTGACATTTAGATCTGGTAATTTCTTTTCTTGTTTCTTTCTCAGAGTTATTGACAGTAGTATGAAAAACTTCAAAGCTTTTTTTCGATGGCTGTATGTTGGTAAGCTTGATGACATAGTAAGCATCCAGTATCTGTTTTGTATTGTAAGCATTGAAATGTTGGCAAGTAATTAAGCTGATCTTAGTTATAACCATCTATTTATATCTGTTGTAGAAAGTTTCTGGACACCTAAAAGATTACAGTAGATGAGGCAAAAATAATTATAATATTAAACACAGATGATAAATTTGATGGTTCTCAGTTAAACTTGAAATGTGTACAGTTTGGGTTGTATATGCTTAGTAATGTTACTCTAAACTGTTGTCTGCTTCATGAGGAATTTGCTGGTCTTGACTTGGAGAAATCAAAGGTCTTAGTTTACACCAAATTTGAAGTACAGTCTAACTCTGCTTTACTCTGTCACTTGCTGCTTTCTCCTGTGGAGACCTCGTTAGCTGTAAAGTTATGCACAGATGTAAACAGTCTCTGGATGCCTGGATACATTAATAGTCACCTCCAGTTGTGGCCACGTAGCTGTAGGTAAAATATTAGAAGGAATTACAGAATGCTGTGTTTTAGCCAGCTTGTTTTTATAAAGTGGTTATGAATAGGTTTATAATTTTAACCGATCTTTTTAAAACTACTTTACAAGAAACTAAGCAGTTTTACCAGATATTGTAAAAGCACTAGAAACAGTGTTAGCACTTACAAGCAGAAGTATAATAATTTTAATTATAAAAATGGTAGAAAGCAGAACTATCAGAGTTCTTTATAACAAAGTTAGAACTTTCATTATTTAAATGTTAAATGTGTTCCCTTGTGTTGAAACTAAACAGAAAACTGATTATCTAAGCCTCACTGATTTAAGATTACTTCTGTGCAATTCTCTTAAAACATATTATTCTAGGCATGACAGTATTCATGTATTTTATATTATTTATATTATAATATTTATTGTAAGCTAGTGGAACAAGTGAGACTTAATTTCAGTCTCAATTCATGATTCTTCAGTCCAGATTCTTTTGCTTCTGACAAATTAATCATTCCTGTTTTCTCAGCGGTGTCTTATTACATAGCTGTGGAAAATTAAGAATATTAGGAAAACATATTAATATTATTGCAGTAAGAATGTAATTTTTCCCTCAGCCATGTTGAGGATGTCAGAAGATCATGTGCTTCCAGAGCTGAACAAGGTAGTAGTAACATTTTCTGATAAATGGTGGTGTAGTCTGTATTCTGCTTGACTTAGAGGACAAGATTAAAGGATTATTTTTGTTCCAAAATTTAAGTAATAGTGTCTATGTCATTTATTTGAGAAAATTGATGTCTGCAGATTCACACTAATATGTTGTTTTGCGTGAATTACTTTTTCTGGTTTATTTGGTAATACTTTTTTTAGTACACTGTATGTGAAAGTGTATGTGTCAGTGTATAGCAACTCTTTATATGCCCTAAATGACTGGGCATGAGTTAAATGGAATGGGATTTTAACATCTTTACCACTGCCCTGGTAGAGGAGGTGGAATAAACCTGTATCAGACTTGCAGACATCATCACATTGGGTGAAGCAGTTAATACGCTCAAAGGCAGAGGTGCCTTCCAGGAGAAAATAGGCTGGAGGAATGGACAGACAGGAACCTCCTGAAGTTCACCAAGGACAAATGGAAGGTTCTGTCCTGGGGACAAACAACCCCCTGCAGTAGCACAGCAGTGCCCCAGCTGGCTGGGGAGCTGCTCTGCTGAGAGGGACTGAAGTGCCGGTGGATGCAAGCTGGGCATGAGCCAGCAGTGTGCCCTGGCAGCAAAGGTGTCCAAATGTAACCAGGTCTGTACTAACCGGAGCATGGCCAGGAGGTCAAGGGAAGTATTTAACCTCCTTATTTAGCACTCATCAGATCACATATAGAATACTTGTTCCATTTCGGGGCCCTGCCATACAAGACAGACATGAATAAACTGGAGTGAGTTCAGCAGAGGGCTCTCAAGCAGATTGGAGGCTGGAGCACTTGCCTTGTGAGGACAGCTGGAGGGAGCTGCACTTCTTCAGCATACAGAACATGTGTTCTATGCTCACGAAATGGATTTCTTATCCTTTGCTTTTCTCACTCTTTCTTTTAGATGACTCAAAAAGATATCACGTTTGTTGCTGATTTTCTTACTGAACACTTCAATGAGGTAGGTTATATTGGTTTGTCAAGTACAGCATCTAACTCTATTTCTGAAGAACTGAATCCAAAAAATCCTATAATAAAATAACTCAGTTATCTTTTTGTGCGCTGCTTCTCTTTAACTTTGGGTTTAAATTATGGTTTTATTTGCATTATTTTTTCAGGCACCGGAACTTTACAATCGTAAAGGAAAATACTTCAATGTGGAGAGAGTTGGTCAGGTAGGAGTAAGCTAGTAACTAGGGAGTAAATGGGAAAAAGAAATGAAAAAGTCCTTACATGGAGAAGCTTTTAAAGCTGTCCCCGCTTTTTATCTCTCTCCCTTTTGCTCTGTGTTGCAAATTCTAGTAATGGTCGAATAGAATATTTTAAATATTTTCCACTAGTGTTAGGAAAAGAAGTGTTTAAAAACACCTTAAATTTTACCTCGCACATGTAAAACTGAAATGTGTTTGTTGTCTTTATGCCATTAATCACTGGATTTCAGAACATTTGTGCTCAAACTTGATTTAAAAATCAGTTTCTTGTGGAAATATCACTATATGATTGTAGACAATAGTTGGTTTTTCTTATTGTTTCAAGAATCCGTAGAATATTTAGTTTTAAGAGTAGGGCATGTTAAATTAAGAAATATTTAAGACTTGTGAGGGGGAATGTTCGAGGTGAATTTTAACGTCTTTTATTCATCAAATACAATCTTAAAAATGTCTATTTCTTTTCTAGTACTTGAAAGATGAAGATGATGACCTTGTATCGCCACCTAATATAGAGGGAAATCAGTGGTTTAACTTTCTTAAAAATAGTACTCATCTTAAAGGTAACGTGTGCTTTAGTAAAAAGTAAAAGTGACTCAAAGATAGATGTAGAATATAACAAATGTAGAAGACTAATCTGTTTTTTCCGTGCTTACAAGTTATCTCTCTAGTGCTAGTCATGGGTCTCCTTCTGAATAGAGTGAAATGAAAGGGCCTTGTTATTTTACACAGTTCTGCTGTGTTATTACCATTCTCTGGGTATTAGGAGTTTCCTACCTTTTATGTACCAGTCTCAGAAATGTTGGTGTGGAAGGAATCCCAGGAGATGTCTCTTTTAGGACATCTTAATTACAGTTGAAGGAAATAATAATTACACTTAGGTCATACCTGAGGGAAGTGTCCTAACTTGTTCTTTTTGACTGGAATCTGAGACTATTGTGTTAGTTAGTGGTGGAAAAAGAAGTGAGAGACTGTAACAAGCTGATGGTGAAAATTATTCTTGTTTATTTTTAAAAACCACAGACTGTAAAACTTCTACAGCATGAACTGTCTTGTGATAGAATTTGCTATAGCTGCCTTTTCTGCCAATTTAATTCATGAAAAACGGGGGAAATTTTAGCATTTTTGTTTGGCTTTGGTAGAAAGTGACACTTTCTACCCTTCTTTGGTCTTCTATATTGCTTTGATTGATGTAATTTTTATAATTTTTCCAGCTAAAAATTTGAAAATGTACAGGTTATGTACTTTAAGTGAGTAATGAGATTTATCTCAAAAGCTAAATGTATTTTTAAAAAGTAGTCAGTTTCATAAGAATTAATCAGTACTATTGAAGCCAAATCATAGCTGCTATAAGAAGTACAGAAATTGTTTTGCTTAAACAAGCTATCTTCTGACAACTGCGTTTCTAGCTCTTGGGTAAGTGTAATTCTGTCTTTCTGCAATTTTGAATGGGCCGCAAAGAAAACCTGAAGGGGCAGGCAGGCTTCTGTTTCTCATTCATTTATCTCGTTTCATAGAATCATAGAATGGTTTAGGTTGGAAGGGGCCTTAAAGATCATCTAGTTAGTTACTTGAGTTAGAATTTATAATCAGGGAATAATTTAGGCAGTCGCCTAATCCAACCAAAGCAAGGATAATTTTGAAGCTAGGCTGGATTGCTCAAGGTTTTTTGCCATTGAGTCCTCCATGCCTGTAGGGATAGAGACCCCGCAGCCTCTCTGGGCACCCTGCTTCAGTGACTAACCAGTCCTTCTGAAAACTCTTTTCCTTACATCTGTTTGGAATTTCCCTTGCTGGAGCTTAGGACTGTTACATCTTCTCCTCTCACTGTGTGCAGCTTTGAAAATGATGTCTTCTGTAACTCCTCCTTTAGGCAGCTGAGGAGAGCAAGAGGTTCCTCCTCATTAGCTCTCGCTTCTCTAGGCTGAATCAACGCAGCCCCCTCAACTTCTTGTAAAGCATGGTGTCTAGCCTCGTGACCATCTTATTGGTTCTCCACTGGACTAATTCAATTTGGCCCTGTAATTACAACATAGTATGTTTCATGGAGATACAAGCATTTGTTAAATGAACTTTATCTGTTTACAGAAAGTCCACTTTTGTTTCCCTACTATCCTGAGAAATCACTGCATTTTGTCAAAAGGCAAATGGAAAGGGTCATTGATCAGTGTTTACAAAAGCCAGCGGTAAGTAATCTATATAAATTATAACTTTGTTTTAGGGGCAGTATTCAACTGAAAATAGTAGTGATGCTTAGTAAGGCCTGAAGTTTTCATCTTTGCCTTTGAGCACCTACAACTCAGGTGGTAGCATGTAGCCCAGCATCACTGATGCAGGGTTGTCTGAAGTCTTTGATTAGAGGCAGCATAGTAGGGGATTTCTTATTTCACATCCCCTGTTGGTTGGGGTTTTTTTATCTTTAAAAGGCACATAATTATGAATGACTGCCTGCATTTTTTTGGCCTGTTTTCATTATATTTGTTAGGATGTAATTGGAAAGTCAGTGCATCAAGCAGTCTGCATGTCTCTCTACAAAACTTCTCAAAGGTATTTCTTTACATTATTTCTAAAGCTCAATTGCACAAAATTTCAGTACCATCTTATACACTGATTTTTCTTTTCAGTGAAGATTCCACACCTCAGTTATTTAAACTACCATTTCTGTAAGTATGCTGTTCTTCCTTGTTCTATGCCATTTTCCAATTATTAAAACTACCTAAATTTTAATTTCCTTCCCCCTGCATTACAGGTGGAATGACAAAACATCAAATATACATTATGTTCTCTTCACCATATTAGAAAATTCTATTTCTAAAATACATATTTTGAGGAGACATACTGATACTTCCAGGTAAGGCAAAAAGGGGGGGCAGAGTGGTTTGTGAGCTTTGACACGTACAGACATAATTGCAATTTGAAGCTTTTTGTAAAAAGAAGTAATGAGCAGCATCACTACAATATTTCTTAGATACTAGAGAAAATGAGGAGGACATTAGGAAGTGTGGTAGGAAACTGCAGCAGGACTTTGTGTTGTGTTAGACTCAGAAAATCTAATCACAAGACCTACAATAGTTTCGGGCTTAGGAAAAAAAATCAGGCTCCCTTAGGCTTCTCACAAAACTACTTGCTTGCAGAACTTGTGAAAAATTACAGGGAATCATGTTTTCAGACTGCATCTCTGTGGGGTGTAGATTTGTGTACCTTCAGGAGTTTGTGTCTGGGATGCAGTTTGTCACTGCCTGGCTGTGCTGATACTACTGTTTAAGACGCATTCTGTCAGTGGGATCACTGAAATGACCTGGGTTTAGAAAACAACAAAAACTCTTCATCTCTGTAAAATACTGATTTTTATAATTTGTGTCACGTAATTTGGGGAGATAATGAATTCTGGCGGGATGGGAATTTTTAAAGCAGTTTTACTGCTGAAGAAAACACATGGTGAAACTGTGTTTACAGTTGAGATCTGCTGATGACAAAATTATCCTGTTTCTTCCCTCGTTGATATCTAAAACAGCCTAAATATATTTTCTGTAGATTTGAGTAACAAGTAACTTAATGAACCTGAGACAGTTGAGTTCAGCAAAGAAGAACTGTATTCCACAAGCTAGATGCCATTTCCCATTTGACTCCATGAGTCACATTTTACTGAGGGGCAGGAGAAATCAAAAGCTTCCCATCCACCGGTTACATCATTTTGGGATATAGCCATGTATTGTGCTAAGCTTAGACAGGCTTACACCATCTCTTACCACAGTTGCCATTAGAGATTTTGGATTCTTTATGAATGGAAAAGAAATTAGTCACTGAGATTATGAACTCTGTTCTTCTAGGTCTGTCAGTAGTGGAATTCTTGCAGTAGAGTTTGGAAACTTCTTGAACAACAGTATTGATGAGAGCTCAGACTCCAGGTCAGTATATTTGATTTTTTTTTCAGAATTGCAAATTGCTATATTGAAGACCATGTTTATTTTACATTAGGTTAACTTCTCGGGCATTATAGTTTGGCTTTTATCCTGCAAGTTACTACTTCAGACTCTGGACCAGCTTGTAGTCCCTGAGTGAGTTGGGCTGTAAGAAATGGCACAGGTGCATGAAGATGCAGGTTTGTGGGAGTCTTATAAAATAGAGTCATGGAATGTGTTGGGTTAGATGACCTTTAAAGGTCATCTGGTCCAACCTCCCTGCAGTAAGCAGGGACTTCTTTAACTAGATCAGGTTGCTCAGAGCCCCATCAAGCCTGACCTTGAATGTCTCCAGGGATGAGGCCTCCACTACCTTGCTGGGCAACCTGTTCCAATCTTTCACCACCCTCATAGTGAAGAACTTCTTCCTATTTTTCACTTAAGGTCAAGTAAATTTTAATTTTCTAGTTGAAAACTAGAGCTTTAAGACATGTGCAAGAAACAAAGCAGCTGGAAACAGTCCTTGCTAATATCTATGTTGTTCTTTAAGTAAGATGGAGTGAGACTTGATATGCCTGAATGAAGGCATCTGAAAAGGCATGGCAGACTAAGCTCATCCTTTTAATATAGAAAGGCCAGATGTGATTGCAATCAGTATCTTCAATTGTTTCTGAATTTTCTTTGGTGTTTACTGTTTCTTTTATTTCACATGAAATGAGAAAAACTAAGATTGCTAGTAAGTTGTTTGTTTCATTTTTTGTTGGGTTTTTTTCCCTTCAGAATAATTTTTCCTTCATGATACAGGGGTCTGCAATGGTTATGGCTGTCTTTTACTGTCTTAGCTGCACATCTGACCTTTTTTGTTGTTTACAGTAAAGCTAACTGTTAACTACAGAATAATTTTTAACATGTATGCTGTGCAACTTAAAAATATTTTAGTTCTGTATTCACTTTTATTCCTTGATGCTTTCTATTTTTTTTTTACGGTAGATGCTACAGTTGTTTAGATGCACACTTCTATGACGATGAAACTGTAACTGTAGTTCTGACAGAGAGTGTGGAGCAAGAGGGGAAGGAGAGAGTCTTGGCTCAGCTGCCTTTATCTTCAGTGTACACGGATGAGGACCAAGATAGGGAATTCATCTGGGATTCTACTAAAAGGTACTGAAAAACTTAGAGCAAGTCTGAAAATGCAGAACTGAAAAGCAGATTAAGCAAATATTCTAATTGTATACAGTTACTCGTGCTTTGTGTGTGTGTAAATATTTTAAAGGCAAAAAACTTTTTGTGCCAAGGACAGTGGGGTGGGGAGATGGAAGCTTCCTAAACAGTTTTTTTTTTCTGAGGTTGGGTTGGGGTTGGTTTTGCGTTTTTGAGACTGAATACTGCCTGTGTACATGGCTCTCATGAAATGGGAGGACCAATTCAAGACATCCTGTCAAATCAGAAATGTTCTCTTTAGAGGATGCTAATTTTGGGCAGAATACTTGAATTTAGGCTGTTTCCAGCATATCTGCTCATACACCTCTGCCTTGTGATAAGGATACACAGATATTTCTTCTTCTTTTCCCTGGTAGTCACACTTAAAACTATTGTCAGCTTAGTCTTGAAATACCAGAATTGGTGCCTTTCTCTGTGTTGGCATAGGGAGAGGAGACCACCTGGGCGGAGTGAACACACACCCACACCCCCTCCCCCCCAGCCCCGTTACTGAACTGTAATTTTTTATATGCCACAAAGAAATTGTGTATTGAAAAACAAACAGCAAATATTAAAAACAACTTCAAACTGATCCTGACCACTGTAATAGGCAGAGAGTTCTTTCATACAGTCCCTGTGAGTGCGGACTCGCACTGGAGCGATACATTTTTGAAAGGTCATGGAAGCCTCTGTGTAAGTGAAGGCATCACCTCTGTGACTTTGTTCAGAAACTCCTTGCAGAGGAGTGGTTTGAAAGACAGCCACCCTCATCCTCCTGCTGTAGCTGTTACAGCTCAGGCTTTGCAACTCCCTTCTCACCTGCTGTAATATTTTACCTCAGTTGAAACATGCTGTGTCTCCACAGTTGGATCTCCCACTCTAGAATATCTGTAGCAGATTTACGATGGTTTCAAATGTTTATCTGCTCATTGCATATGGTATAATAGACATAAAAAAGTGGACTGGCTGAGGTTTTTCTTAGCACTGGGATTGTTTCTTATGTACTAGTATTGTGCTTTTCTTCTTGGCTGCGTGCAGGTTGGATGAGCAAAGTGGTGAGATACCCTCACGTATTGTCTTCTTGGAGAATCAGTGGAGAGTGCTGGAGAATATGAAGGCTCAGTATGTTGCTGTAAATGGCATTAGAAAAGTTTCCTGTGTGGTAAGTACAGTATCTGTGAACAGGCCTGTAAAGGATTAAAGAAAACGTGCAATGACTGAAGAGAGTGATAACACATTTCTGTTAATTTAGTGAGATTTATCAAAGCTTTTTTTTTAATTAACAAATAGATTTTTTTCTCTCAATCTGTTAGAAGTGTGTCAGGATACAGTCATACCTCTCTCATAACAAAACATGGATAAACGTTAACAGAAGGTAATAGATAGACTTGCTTTTTACTTTTCCTGATGTCAGAGCAATAAAATATTGCCATTTTCCTTGATACTTCCATTTCAAAGATAAAGACTGTTTTCAAAGCTATTGGCTGACATTTAAAATTATATTGGTGCTTTTATTTATTTATTTATTTATTAACAGAAACTTCTTAATGTTTCTGTAGCTAAGTTCGAATCTCCGTCACGTGAGGGTGTTTGAGATGGATGTAGAGGATGATGGGGAAGTTGAGGAAGAGGAGGAAGAAGAAACAGCTCAAATTGCAGTTGGGGCACCTGATGAGCTCAATCAGTCTGCAGATAACCAGGACAATGTGTGTGGTGCATCTGCTGAAGAACTACCTGATGAAACTGAAGAACACAAATCAAATTTGGATCCTTGACATAGGCTTTTATACTGGTAAAGGGACAAAAGACAGTAACTTCAGTCTGCTGAGATCATGTATCCTGTACCTGCTCTAACAGCTGTAGTAGGATTTTGTCTGCTAGAATTCTGTATTGCTTTGCAGCTAAGACTGTATGTTCTAGAGCACGTTTATTTGACTCTTTTTTTTGTCTGGCACATGGTTTGGTATGAACTAAATTTCCTTTAGAGCTTTTCTATTTGCAGTTTTTTATAGGTGAGGAGAAGAAGAAATAAGAACTGATGTTTTTGTAGTTAACCTCTTCAGTCCTGAATACTTGTTATTAAGATAAAATTAACTTATATGTAGAAACAACAAAGCTCAGGACCAAATTCTTTTCTTCTCAGGCTTTGTGTTTTAGTAATGGGTAGAGAAGATACCTGTAGAGCTTAAATCTAAGTGTCTATGGCCAACAACAAGCTTGCAGATCAGCATAAGACCGGTCAGTCAACAAAAATTGGCAAATGCTACTTAAATACATACTTGTAAAAACTCTTTTGGTAACATCTGTCTGCAGTAACACAGTTTTTCAGTCTGTGCAGTTCTTTAGTCCTCAGTGCAACATCTATGTGTGTGTAGGTTTTGTCAAATGTCTGCATATCTTGAGCTGCCTGGTTTCTGTGAGATTGTTCCTGAAAGTCTGTCTTCTCTATCTGGGGTATTTGTAATAAAAAGTCACAACAGAGAGTATATTTTTTTAATTCTGATGTGCATTGTGTGTCATGCATAGGCTTCAGCATAATCATGTTCCTTGCTAATTTATATATTGCTGTAGGAATGGTGTAGAAGCAGTAGAAGCTAGAAACAGTGTTTAAAAGTCTAAAATGTTTTCTTCTTCCCTACTACCTGACAGATTATTAACTGACATAAAGCTCAGCTCTTTGATCAGCAGTGCTGCTAAATGCATGATCTTCCTTCAGAACAGTGAGCATACCTTCTATTTGTAAGGAGGATCAGGTCTTATGCATGTGCTCCATTCCGTACTTCCAAAATAAATAAGTCCTCTGAAATTGGTATTTGACATTCCAAGAATCAAATACTAGACCTATCCTCTTTCTCTTGTTTTTAAGTAACTATTTCTTAAAGTGAGCTTTTGAAGTTTAGGGGAGGCCGTTGTAAACAGAGCTGTTCAATTTTGAGAGAGACTTCTTTTTTTTTCCCCTTTCCTTACCAACCTCCTTGAAAGTGTTTGCTGCTCAGCATTCTGATCTGATAGGTGCTAATGGTTAAAGGCACAATGAAGCTGCGGGACCAGAGAGGCAGAAATGCCCATTCGAAAGTGCTGTGGATTTTCTGTGTAAAGCAGTTGCTTTTGATGAAAAGTTGCTGCTATAGCAGAACCCACTCAGCTTAAGCCTGGCCTTGTGTTCTTCCAGGGAACTTTTGCTTCTGAGATAACTTTAAGAAATGTCACACTAGAGTGCTTGGAAACAATTGTTTTCCTGTGCTTTCTACTAGGTTTTAGTCCATGGGCATATGGAAATCTGTCCTGCCCATAATTGTTTCTAAATTTGTGTTAATAGCAGGTGTGTCCCATGCCACAGGGGTATGCCCTTCAGAATCTCCTGGTGGTTATTATGTGCATCTTTCAATTCAAATCTTGGATATACTTGAGTCAATGGGAGTTTTGTTTCTGGCTTGGATAAGTACATGTGCACTTTCTACATTTCAGTGACACAATATGAATGCACCAGTTTAGGTCAGTGCTTCTGAATGAAGATGGTTCCTTCTGTCAAACTTATTTTTATTTTGCTAACAGACTTTTGTAATAATGAATGTCAGCAATGTGCTTATGGACCTGTTTCAACAGGATGATAGGAAATACTTGATTTAGAAGTTTTTCAGGATTTTGGTGGTGTCTGGACATGATCTCACTTGGCACTTTGATCTCTTTTTCATCATCCTTTTTTATGCTAACTTGAAGGTTCATTCAACCTTTTTCTGCTGTGAGTTCTCGTTTTTCTTCATAGTTTTATAGCCAAAAGAACTTATATATTCTCAGCAAGTGTGCACACAGTCCACTCTTTGCAATACTAATCTTTAGCTGTCTAAGAATAATTTACTGTGGCATTTCTAGTTTTTGAAGATCTTGGGCAGCTTTTGTTTTATTTTTGCTGTTCACCTTGTGTAATCCCTTTTCCAGAAATTTTGTCCATGCCTTTTCTGCCTGTTCTCACTGACTTGAAAACTTCCCACATTGCCAAGTTTCTGCTTCAGTCTGTCACCAGTTGGTGCTGTTTTGCTTCACAACCTGGGCATCCTGTGGTATTGTTGTCTCCCACTTACATGAATTTCATTGCACACTTGCACCTACCTTCATAAACAACCACTTCAGCTGCTCAAAAAGAGGGGAGATGCATGGAGAGAAATAGCAAACAAAAGCTTGCTTTAGTTAGCTCTTTCTTTTTGCAGAGGGGAGAAGAAATGTGTATTTTTGTAACAATACCTACAGTTGGTCCTAATGTTGCCTGGCTTTGAGAAACCCATTTTAAAAACTTTAAGCCCATATATATAAACCTTGGTAGAATGGTAAAGCCATCTATGTAAGTACTTAAGTTCTTCAGTAGGTTTCTGTGGCCTGTGCTTAGTATCTGTAGTCAGAGTTGGCTGTGTGCCTTGTTACATACTGCAGTAATATCTGAGATCTCTCTTGTGACCTTAAACTACCTGTTGCTCTTAGAGTTGTGACTCTAATGTAGTTTCTTGCTTCATGGTCTGGTTTAGGGGAAGAGCTGGCTTAGCTTGTGTCATGGAGCAATGGTAGCAGTGTAAGAAGGACATTTTGGAGAGGGGAAGGAAGACTTCGCCATGGATCACTTCATAAAGAGCAGTAAGGAGAATGCATATGAATGAGGAGAGAGGATAAAGGAATTGCTGCAGGGCAAGTTTCAAGGAGGGAAGGTGCAGAATGACATGGGCATCTCTGGAGAATGCCACTGTGGAGGAATTCTAAGGAAAAAAAAAAACCTACACCACCTCTGGAAGTGGAAGAGAAAAATGCCACTTGCAGGTGAAAAAAATGCATTTGACTGTACCTCTAGGTTAAGTAATAGAGCTGTTAGCAAATCACACTGGAGACCATTGGTGCCAGCAAAGTCCAGGGTCAAAGTAAGTTATAAAGGAATATAAATGTAGTGTGGGTGCTGCGGCATTCTTCCCCCATGGGGGTATTACACGGCTACTGTTCCTGGCTGGCTGTTTTACAGCTTTGCTGGCAGCTCTCTGAAAATTATGTAATTGTGCCTGCTACTGTGTTGAGTGGTTTTATGCAGTTCTCATGCTTAACCTAGAGGATCAAGTAAAGCATCCTGTCAGGTTTAATTCTTACGATTCCCACCAGGAGCCCTACCTCCTAGAGTGAGCCTATTCTTACTAAAAGAAAAAGAAAACCACCTGGGATCTAGTACAGGAAATAAGACTGTTTTCAAATCCATACTCTTACTGTCAGACAAAAGAAATTCGGTCCCATGTCAGTAGAGCTGTAGCATTCTGGATGTGGTGTTGGAGTTCTTTTAGTATGTAACTGAATCTCTTCTGCCAATTATTTGCCAAACCAATTATCTGTTTGCTTGATGGAAAATGTTTGTTTTTGCAGCCTAGAGATTAGGGTATGTGCTAGCCGCCTGAGAAGATGAGGTTCAAGGCCTTCTTCCAAAGTGACCAGAAAACAGGAGTTGAAAAAACCCGTATTTTTCTCAACTTAGTAATTCTTTTACAGATTTAGATGTGTAGTCACTTTTCCCCTGTACATTCTTTTTCTTAAATTAGTTATTAAAATGAAGTCTTCAGAGATTGATTTTTGCCTCCTGAAATTCTCCGTTTTCATATATAAATTCTGTAATGAAGATGTAGACTTGCCCTCAGGTGCACTGAAAAGAATTTCTTAAACAGCCACTACAGATAAGACCCACAGGGGCAAAGGTAAGGTATTCATCTGGTCACACAGTTTATTTTAGACTGTTGAGGTAACCTACGGTTTCCTGAAGATAGCACAAAAACCAGTGCTTTCAAATGTTGCAGTAATCTGAAGAACAATAAGCTTTATCTTTCCATATGTTGAATTAACCGTGTTCCCTTCATAGTGGAATCCTACTAGACAAGAAGCAAATGAACAGTGCTTTTTGCTTTCTGTTTTAGAGATGTGTGGTATTTGTGATGTCCCCTCTCTTGCAGCTGATCTATACTAGACTCAATGCTCCAACTGCTTAGCTAATGTTCAGAATATTGAAATGCAGAAGGAGGATGGAAGGCATCAGTGGGCACTGTGGTTTCCAGATAGTGTATATTAATTTTGGTCAGTTGCATGAAAAACAGCATACTATTTTCTCTAATTTCCAATTATTTTAAATTTTTTTTCAAGTATTATTAGGGCAGGAAGAAAAACTAGTGAGTGAAGTGGGTGAGAGTTCTGGGGTTTTTTTTGTGGTACCTAGCAATAAATCTCTTCTAAATGAGTTTATTTTCTAGAACAGTTCTCAATGTATAGTAATCCCTTGAGAGAGATCACATGGAATGCATATGGTCTTATCAGTAGACTATTAAAGAAACTACTATTGGAAGACAACTTGTTTATAGCCTATGGACAAATTATGGTTAGTTCACTTCTTGCCTTAAAATAGTGTACAGTTCTGCTGTGCACTGAAACTGGGACTTCTCTGCTTTGTTATGCAGAGGGTTATAATTTCTGTAGTTCTCTTTCATGGTTGGTGATCACTGAAATTTTGGAGCATTGTAATACACATGTTAAGACTGGTATGAAGGAGAATATCTGTGAGTTGGAGTTACCAGAAGGAGTAACAGCAGCAGAAGGGCTCTAAGAATGGTATGCACTGAAGTCATTTAGATTAGCAGGTCATCAAAATTCTAGCATGTGTCGACGTGCAGGTGGTCAGGAGGGAAGGACCCAAGCAAATCTTGATGACTCTTGGAGGCGGGACAAGATGGACAGGCTGATTACTGACAGTTTCTAAAGGGTACAA